TCGCTTTTCATCCTCGCCCCTCTCCGGCCCCTCCCACAGTCTGTAGTTCGTTTGGTTCGCGGCGACGGGCTGGGACAAAAAACGGCCCCTGCCCATCGTACAAATGACTCGATCCGGGGGTCTGGGGGACGGAGAAAAAAGCATAAAAAGACCCGCCCCCGGGAGAGAAAGCAAACTCCAGCTGGAGGCTGGGAAGGGGCGGGGGCGACAGAGGGTCTTTTTTGGAGGGAGCCGGGAGGCGTTGGTTAGGTCCTCACTCAGGTCCTCGCGTGGTGGGTTTTTTGGTTGTTGTGGTGGGAGATTTGGCTTCGCAGGGTGGCAGGTTCGGTCCCCAGATCAGTGGCTCCGTTGGATGGGTGGGGGGGGGACAAGGCGCGTGGGGATGTTTTAAAGCCATTGAAGTAGGTGAGGGGGGAGCGTCCTTTGATCCACCCCCCCTCTTCTGTCCCGGAGAAATTGGGGGCGAGGGCTGGGCCAGCGAAGCCCTCCGCCATGAGGAGGGAGACCAGCGGGAAGGAGGGTTGGTCCCCTGGTCTCCTGTTTGGTTGGTGCTTGAGCCAGCGTCTGTCCATCTGTCCATCCCCACAAGTTCTGTACACAGTGGGCGGAGCATGCGCGAGGGGAGGGGAAGAGGAGGGGGCTGAGGGTTGCCCCCCCCATTTTCGTTTCCTTGAGTTTGTCTCTTGGGCTGTCCGTTGAGTTGAGTTTTGGTTTTGGCCTGTCTGGGTTGGTAACAGGACGGGGCATGTGCTGGAGAGGGGCACCTGGGGGGACAGGGGCTGGGGTGGAGGTCCCAAGGAAGCCCTTCTTAATCCCTGGGGGGGGGCAGAGTCTTGGCCCCACATACCGCATGTGAGGTGCAGGGTATGCGTCTGACATGCAGACAGGCGTTGCTGTGTCTGTGCGCCAAAGGTGGGCTGGCGGTACCTGGCAGAAGCGCATGTGGTAGGAACATGCCTAACACACACGTGTGCGGAGAGCATGGGGTGTGTGGGGCCAGCTGTGTTGGGAACATGCCTAGCACGCCTAGGAGGGGGTGTGCTTTGAATCCCCCCTCCCCCCCACACACACACCCAGCAATGCTGACTCCCTACAGCTGGGTGAGTATCCAGGTCGGGTGCACACAAGTTGGCGAGACAGCCAGGAGCAGAAGGGTTACGTGACTGTGCTGGGATTGACTAGGCTTTCCTTCGAGTGGGGTTAGCTGGGGTAAGGGATTCAGGGAGGGTGGAGGGTCCCAGGAGGGGGGTCCCCAGGGTTGGGGGTCCCAGGCACCCCTGTCTCCGGCTGCGCCCCGGGCTGTTCATAAAGCTAGAAGCGTGGTCGAGGTAGAGTTGCTTTTTGGGCTGGGGTCCGAGTGAGGCTGTGCTGGGATTGACTAGGCTTTCCTTCGAGTGGGGTTAGCTGGGGTAAGGGATTCAGGGAGGGTGGAGGGTCCCAGGAGGGGGGTCCCCAGGGTTGGGGGTCCCAGGCACCCCTGTCTCCGGCTGCGCCCCGGGCTGTTCATAAAGCTAGAAGCGTGGTCGAGGTAGAGTTGCTTTTTGGGCTGGGGTCCGAGTGAGGTAACTTTGCTTCCTCTTTGGCAAAGGCCGGGGCGGGGCCGGCGGTGGGGGCGGGGCCGGCGCCGGGGGC